GGACGCGGATTGGCAAAGCGAGGGCTGCATTTCTACAGTTGAAAAATATCTGGAACTCCAAACAACTTTCAAATAAAGCCAAAATCAGTATTTTCAATACAAATGTCAAGACAGTTCTACTGTATGGAGCGGAAACATGGAGAACTACCAAAGCCATCATTCAGAAGATACAAGTGTTTATTAACAGCTGTCTACGCAAAATACTTCGTATTCGTTGGCCAGACACCATCAGCAACAACGAACTGTGGGAGAGAACAAGTCAGATTCCAGTGGAGGAGGAAATCAGGAAGAAGCGGTGGAAGTGGATAGGACATACACTACGAAAAGCACCCAACTGCGTCACTAGACAAGTCCTCACATGGAACCCTCAAGGCAAAAGGAAAAGAGGAAGGCCAAAGAATACATTACGCCGAGAAATAGAGAAAGATATGAGAGGAATGAACAAACAGTGGACAGAACTGGAGAGGGAAGCCCAGGACAGAGTTGGTTGGAGAAAACTGGTGGGCGGCCTATGCTCCATTGGGGGTAACAGGCGAAAGTAAGTAAGTAAGTAACTTGTCTCATGTCGATTACGACACTTCTCAAAAATAAAGTTGTACAGAATACAGCGTAAGAGTGAAATAAATATTAGGTCCTGAAATTAGAACAACTTTCCCATAGATGTTTGTATTTCATTAATTCATTTAGTCAGACACGTGTCATTGAGAAGCGATGTCAGATGCGCTACTCAGACTACTCTTCAATACAAGAGTTAATATAACTCAATGTAGATAATGAGTAGTGCGATAAGGCGACACATTGGATAAGATAATAAGTGTACAGTTAGCGGATACACGAAAGACGGATAGATAAGTGTAAAATAACAAAGACACATATAAAACAGTGTTCTGAAGATCACAGTTTCGTATGAAAAAGGTATAACTATGGGGTAAAGATGACTCAAAAGTCACATCTCATCTGAATTATAACAGTTTGTCATAAGTAGAATCAATCACGTAAGCGTGTGATGGCAAGTGCTTTGTCATGGAAGAATAGGTTGTCAAAGAGGATTAAATTTTCAAGGGAGTGCAGCTGTGTTTCCATGCATTCTTGTGTCCTTCATCCACCAATCTATTAAAAACGTAGTTCTAATAGTCCGATAGTCAACTTTCTAATGATTATGAACTGTCATCTTTCAAGGAGCAGCATTTTACGAGTCTTATCGCATCAGTCGTGTTGTTTCATAAATCTATAGTGAAAATCGAGGCTGAGGATGGTTTGAGAGATGTTTGTTGGTGTTAGATCTCCAGCTGAAGGATAGTGGGTCAGACAATCAACGATTTACGGGGATCGAGCTTTCTTTCATTTCATTATATGAGATGGTCATTGCACACAGATAATGATTTGTATGGTAAATATATTTGAAGAATTAAAAAGTATTGTCAATGACCGACGACTTCTTCATCAACTCGGAGGGGTACTTCTTTGAATATTCTGTATGTATTAAATTAGTCAAGTTATTGGTTGTGGATGTCGGTCCTGTGCTTTTTCTGGTATAGTAGATAGTTCATTCACTGTAAAAGTATAGCCGATGTGACTCCATTGGTGGTTGTTTACGCGTTGTTCATGAGCGAAGCCTATGGTTCCATTTTTTGACAGATCAACTGAAGAATGTTCATCATTTACTACTGTCTGTAGCTGCAGTCTGTTTTATAATCGACTAGGGTAGTTCTTTTGTATGAAATGTTATGGTGAATTTCCGATTCGCTGCTAGTCACGAGGATTTATAATGGTTTCTAATCATTAAATATAAATTATTGTTGTTATTTATACACTTCTAATCACATTGTGTTTATTAGTGGAAATGGCGTTAAATTTCAAGATATGTCTACCAGATTTGGATAGATTGAGCTTTATCATTAGTAAAATTATCAAGTAATTTAAGTGACCACCATGTTTATTGATTCACAAAATGTTCAAGGCACTTTCGTAGAATAACTCTGGTAAAGCAGCCGGAATAACCATTCGCTGAAGAAGTGCACTAACAGAAAATCTGTACGCTTTGCAATGGTAGATGTAATATTAACTGGATCAGGAACGAGCCTATTGCTTAGAGATATATTTCGTAAGACAGAAATGTAAATAGAAAACTTAAATATACTAAAACCATCGTTACATTCCATAAGCATTTTACGTTTTAGTCATTATCTACCTTAAATTACTTCCTTTCGGCAAGAAAAGTTTAGTTTAGAAGGAAATTAGCAATGTTTACAGTATCATGATCACTGGTCAAAACTACATAGCCAATATAGTCGCTCATAACTTACCTAAGAGTTTACATTATCATCAAGAGCAAATTTAAAAAGAAAAGCTATTTTACTGTCTAAAGTTTATTCATGAACCTAGGATTATCGATAGTTAGCATTATTCTGTTGACTTTATTGTAACATAGTTGTTTGTATCTGGGGTGATGAATTCTCTTATCGAATTCAAAATGTGCTACAGTGAACTTTTGTCATATGACATGACAGACTAAAATCAAACGATTTTATCAAGTACATGAATATAAAATTATTGTCGAAAAAAAAAAATCTGAATTCAGAATTGTGGTTAAACCGTTCACACTTAATTATTGCACTTTTTTTATTTCTTAAAACTGAACATAGCAACAATCATTATAATGACAACTTGACATTTATATAGTATAAAATGGATGAAGTTAACCTGCACGATAATTTGTATTGAGTTCACTGTTGTCAGGTTGACACAGAGTATCTATTGATTCATTGTTATTAACTTCCCTATACATATTAACCTATTTCAAATTTAAAGCACTTATATCCTTTTGATAAATTTGGCGAGTTTAATGAAAAGACGAAGATTATAAGAACAGTGTGGTGTGTAGAGGCACAATACATTTCGTACAATCTGACCACATAGATATACTTGTAAAGAAAAGTTTAGTTTTGGAAAATTCAAGGTCAACTGGTTAAATGGAGTGTAAGATTAAGAAAGGAAACTAATGTTTAAAAAAATGGAACTCACCACCTAGCACTACCAACATAGGTTATAGAGTGCGAACAAATTGTTTTTGAATACATAAATGGGGTCTAAAATTTTGTAATAAACTTCCTCATTACATTGTAGGACCAGTGAGATGTCACGGGGTCTTAACCAAGTCATTTGACAGGCTAGTCAGTGAATGTCAAGCGGTCTACTGAACATCTTCCAGATCAGGGACGACCAACGCTCACTAATCGGTTGCACATAATGGACCGGCACATGCGTTGGTGGTTCAGCCTTGCACTTCCGTTAACTCTGAATACTAATATATGCTGGTACGTACTAAGAGTATTATTTCTAGCAAATCACCTGGTCATGACGATGACATAATCCAGGTTGTGCATCGATTGCGATGCGTAAATTCGATGTGTGATGAGAGGTCACACCATTCCCACCAAACTCGAGTAGGCTCGCAACCATCGACACAGATCTCCTGCGTTGGTGATCTACAACGCACTTTCGGATTGTTATGCGGGAAATTATCAGCTTAATCTCACCTTTACATAATATTAGTATGATGAAATTTACACAACATTTCGTTTAACGCAGTTGTGACGTACATTCTGATTAGCTGGAAAATTATTTTACCGTATATGCGACTCGAGTTATATTAGTTACCTGTGAAACATGAATTCCGTATTTTATTAAAAACATTCATTATTTAATTTGGAGAACCTTACGTTTGTATAATTATTATGTGCGACTACAAAAGATTGTGCTTATCAAAAATGGTAGTTCATGAGTATACTAAATGTGAACTCAAGACATGTATTCTTATCCGCTTCTAATAATCTCAGACTAGATCTACACTGTGACAAGAAGAAAGGCGGAATGTACGAGATGGACACTTTACTCGAAAGTTAGTTTATGTTCAGAAAAACGAGGGTATTTTTAGTTAATCGTGACCTCTGGCATTTGTAAAGGTTCAATAACCATACTGAATATAGAAGCTGTATGTCTTAATAACCAATCAGAATTAAGGGGCATGATTCTGCATTTTCCAGATGTTTCTGCAATGGTTCTGTTCAACGCAGTCACTCAGTCAGTTACTAGGTAGAACTTCGTACATGAGTAAATAAGTTCAGGTTGTCATACCACATCTGCACAGAGTCTCAACTGTCAGTTCGAATCCCACAGTGGTAGAGATAGTAGAAGTATTAGCAGTAATGGCGAAGATTAGGGTTCGAAGAAATGACTTGAGAAGTATGTCGCAGTAAAATAAATTAAAAAAGAGAAAGGTCATGGGGAATTCAGAAGATTAGAATTTGAAAGAATATAAAAAACGAATGCACCTACACCATTGCAAACCATTTTGAGCTATGTCATTCAAAGTCTTTAAACATATTAGGTGTATACCCGAAAGCATTGTTTATTATGGTCCGTCGCAAAATTCAATTAACTTTCATCTCATTCACTACTACTAAAACTCAAACGACTAAGGTTCTCATTTAAGACTAATTAGATTTTAATAAGCGAAACTTATTGAACAGATTCGTTGCAATTCCTATTATTGAACATCAGATTATAATTAACCATTTATACAAACTCCATCATCACTTATTATCACCGTTAAAACAGATCTCTTTACACATAAAAACACTTAACATGCTTATTTAAACTAGTTTAAAGTACTATTTCAATATCTTCCAGATGACTAGGCTCATAATAATGCAGGAGTCATTTCAGTTTCACTGCAACTCTCCTCGATCCTATTTATACGTTTAAGTATTATATTGTGACTTACGTTTGCTTTACTAAATACAACAGTAGAAAGGTAATTTACAATCACACAAATGCAATGGTGACCATTGCAGATAAATAATCACATGCATCGGATTTCACCTCTTTGTAGGTAAGCCAAATATGTAAAATTATTCAGTTGAAGAATTACTAAATGGGTGCGGTAAGCAACAAAGTCAAATCACGTGCTGCCTCAAGGACATAAGTTAGACGAGAATCTCGCATCTGACTGAGTCATTCATCTACCTGAAACACTGTTAACATTTATTTGTCTGGATCAGTCCAATTCAATATGTCTACATAGTCTCTTCTTCCTCCGCGTCTTAACGACCAACGGTTGGCTAGTTAGTTATGTTTGATCGTTGCTAAACTAACTTCCTATTGGCTACTCTGCATGTCCGTAAATCAGCAACTGAGACAACAACAAATGAGTGAAGAATTTGCGAATGGTTTGTAGATATAATATTTCCCTGTAGCAGGGTGATCAATAGATTTCCCACAGCACATGTGATAGATGGCAGTGTTTGCCAAATCATTTGTTTATATTTATCTCATATTCTGTATATTTTATTTTACTACAATATCAGATTCAGGTGAAGCACGCAAAGTTTACAGGAAATGTCGGGCTTCTTGGTCAAAATGGATGGTGAGTGAGACAGATCTTCATTGGAACATTAGTGACATTAATTTGGATGTAACGCAACGTAAATGTATGTGGATTAACATACCGTGTACTCGGAATCGTCAATGTCCATGTGAAACATACTATTCAAAGGAATTGTTGGGTATTGAATTACCTCGAAAAAGAAATCATGTATGTGTTGAGACGAAGAGCTGTGATGTTCTCATTTGCTCATCAGTTGTTTATTTCGGAAGTAATATAGATTCGAAGAAATTGATTATTAAAACATACAAAGTTGGAAACAGAACCAATGGGAAACGAAATTTAACAGGGATAGTTTATGTTCCACTTGATAAGAGTACATGGGAATTGTATGGTAAGAATGGTGTTAAAACGAAAGCAACTGAAGAAGTGAGAAATAAATCGTATGTATATCTTGATATTTTACAAACACCTGTAAGACCTGCAGGAGGTAGGATTTACAATTTATCTCAAAGTGATAATGATTTTGACGATGGAACTGAACTCTCATGGACTTTTATAGCGTATTTGTTTTTTATGTCTCTGTATTTACTATTATTTGTCTTTCGTTTAGTTAATATGTGTTGTACGTCAGGGTGTACAAGCATTCCCAGTGTAGAGTATCGTTGCAGAGAATCAGACACCTTGATTGATGAAACCCGAAGCAATATTTGTTAGGTAAAGCTGTGTGAATATATCTTCATTATTTTATTCTCATGGAATTTTATTATTAAAACGTATCCATTTTTAGTGCATACTGTTTTCATTTTGTTTGAGAGAAAATCGATATATAGATTTGTGTTGTAATAAGAATAATATAAACTGATAGTTTTACAAGCTCTAAGTAGTCGACTAGCCATAAATATTGTTTTATATTGATTAGGTGTGTAATGTTAGTCAGTCAGTCAGTTACAACGTAGAACTTCGTACGTAAGCACATCAGTTGATGTCGCCATACCACATCAGCACAGAGATGTAATTGTCAATTTAAATCCAATAGTAGAAGAGTTAGTAACGGTATTAGAAGTATTCGGAGAGATTGGAATGAGAAGATACTATTCAAGAAGTATGCTTAAATGAGAAAAGTTTAGAAAGTCAAAACTAGAGGGGTTGAAGAATCCAGAAGATTAGCATTTGAGAGAACACAAAGAATAAATGCACCGGCGCCATTGCGAACGATTTTGAGCCATGTCATTCAAGGTCTCTAACCATCGATTATTATCATCTCGCGGACCCCAACCAGGTAGTCGACAATTACCGACATGGCTAAGTCCACTCTTCAATGACTTCATGGATTTGTGCCATGTTTTGGTCTGACAGCCCCTAACTTTCTTCCAACCTACTCCTACACTACAGACAAGGCTCGACGAGGCAGTCGATGGTTGGGCATACGCAACACATGTCCCAACCACCTCAACTGATGAAGTTTCACCACTTCATCTATTGATCTGCCATTCTTACCTAGCACCCGATTCCTAATAACAGCGTTGCTCACTTAGGTGTCCCACGATATACGAGCAATGCTTCGAAGACACCTATGGTCGAAAACCAATAACCAACGACTATCGTCTACTCTCACTGGCCATGTTTCACAGCCATAAAGTAAGACAGAGCGAACTACTGCGCAATACACTCATCCTTTAGTCAGCAAACGGATATCTCGCCTACGCCTTAAGTGACGCAGGTTGACAAAAGCCAATCTAGCCTTCTGTATCCGTGCTGAGATTTCGTCAGTCACCAGGCCATCGGCACTGATGAGACTCCCAAGATAAGTGAAGCGGTCTACACGTTCGACTACTTCACTCCCTATCACTAGTTCAGGTGCCGATGAAACCCAATCTTGAAGCAACATTTCGCATTTCGAGGGTGAAAACCGCATTCCGAACATGCTTGCATTGTTGCTTAGGGTGGTCAGATGACTCTGCATTTTGTCAGCGTCTTCACCAAGTAGGACAATATCATCGGCATATTCTAAGTCAATAAGCGAGCCACCTGGTAAAAGGTCTACTCCTGAAAATTCAGACGAGGATAAGGTTATTTCTAGGAGCATGTCTATGATAAAATTAAACAAGAATGGAGAGAGTGGACATCCCTGACGGGCACCACTTGAAGTGAAGAATTCCGGTGACAGTTCGCCATAAGCTATCACTCGACCAGTGGTGTTCGAGTAGAGAGCTTGTATAAGGTTAATGTACTTCTTTGGTACACCTTTCAATGACAGACACTGCCACAGAACCTCACGATCCACAGTGTCAAATGCCGCCTGAAGGTCCAGGAATACAACTACTGCCGGACACCCACATGTGTGTCTGTGTTCTAGGACCGGTCATAGTGTGGAAATGTGGTCTATACAACCACGTTCAGGACGAAAACCAGATTGGTTTTCTCCGGTGTGCTCTTCACAAGCATTCGTTAAGCGTCGAAGTATTACTGAGGACAATATTTTAGATACTATATTAGTTAGACTTATTCCCCTGTGATTGTCACAAGAAGACTTCTGTCCTTTCTTATAGATTGGGACACTCAGTGATTGAGACCAGTCGGATGGGATTACGTCCAGTTCCCAGATTCTACCTAAGATCTCAGTCAACGTAGTTGCTAAAACTGTACCACCATCCTTAACTATCTCAGGCGTCAGTCTATCAGGACCCGCAGCTCGTCCTCGCTTCAGATTTACTAACGCTTTTTCAACTTCATTAAGACTAGGGGGACTTACGTCGATTTGCCATCCAGGATGACTGGAGATCGTGGGTAACCGAAGAGTGGCTCGAGGCCAGTTGAACTGATCCCTAATGTGTTCTGTCCATCGATCCAGTCTCCTGGATTGAGAATAAATAATAGTCCCATCATTTTCTGAGATAGTCTCACTTACAATAGGATTCCTAATATCAGTTTCCTTCATAAGTCGGAAAAGTTGTCTACTCTTGCCTATTGCCGCTGACTTTTCCATCGCTTTTGCTTTCGCCACCCACCACTGTTCGCGATCGTTACGTAGGCTTTTTATAAGTCTGCGCTTAAGCTGACTTCGTTCTTCATCATGTTCAGAGCCAGGTGGGGTGAGTTTTCGAGCATCCATCAGTTCGGTGGATGCTACTGAAATCCACGGCTTCATTCTAGCCTTATGGTTTACCTTACTAGCAGATATCACTGCTGTTTCCACAGCCTTTTTGATATCATTCCAAGATGCCTCCGGATGGGAATCATGTACGTGGTTGCCTAACTCTCTTTCTAGTTGTTCCTGGAATATTTTCTTAGCCTCATTATCATTAAGTAGAGCCATAAGAGGCTTACTTGCGATGTCTTCCCTACGCCCTGTAAGCCTCAAACAAATACGCGCCCACACTAGGGCATGATCTGAATCCAAACATGTTCCCCAGAACGAGCGACAGTCTTCTATGGAATCCCTCCATCGGTGGCTGATGGCGATGTGGTCTAGTTGCGTCCAACATTGAGACGACTTTGGAGGTTGCCAGGTCAACAGATGCTTTTCCTTATGCCTAAAGTTAGTGTTTGCTAAGTAATGGCGGTTGTCTGAGCATACTTGCAACAGACGGTCACCATTGTCTGTTCTCTGAGCCGCGACACCATAACATCCACCTAGGTGTCTTTCATTTTCACTTAGTCTACCTACTTGAGCATTGAAGTCACCAGCCATTATTACTATATCAGAGCGCCTAGCTTTTTGGAGGAGGTCCGAAAGCTTTCTGTAAAACTCATCTTTAAGCTCGTCTGAAATGCAGTCAGTGGGGGCATAGGCAGGTACGATGAAGAGGCAACGGCGAGTGTCCCTATCTTTCCGAGTCCTTACTGTCCCGTTTAGTCGGACAGAGCACAAGCGACTATCTACAAGGATCCAGTCTAGGAGAGATTGTTCAGCTGTACGACTCAATGCTATGCCTACGCCAGCAAGACCCCAGAAAGCAGCATCAGGGATACCGGATACACGAAGAGTAAGTCGAGCTGCTTCTTTATTTTGACAAGGTGAAATCAGATTATTAGTTTTACTAGGATCCTGTATGCGCGTTTCCGAGACGCAGCATACATCGATGGCACGAGATTCTAATGTCCTAGCTAGTGATGCATGTTGCCCTATTTGACAGAATGTCCGTGTCCGGGGTTTAAGGAGACCAGGAAAGACGTTTCGCGAACTCGCGTCGTCTGCATTAGCTGTGCACTGTGATAAATGAATGTGAGAAGAGTTAGTCATGGAGATAAGAGCGGTACTAGGGGGTGTAGGAAGGATTTGATTTTGACCAATTTGGTCTCGTGTGCTGTTACGGGTATGAGGGCGGTTGTCACTTCCCGGCTGCCCACACCGTGGAAGGTTGTTTGGTGTGTAATGTGAGATTTTTAATCAAGTTAACTGGCTTAGAACATCAGTCATTCAGTCAGCCATCCAGCTATAACAGGTAACTGCGTACGTACAAACAGCAGTTCAATTTGCCATATCACACTATCACAGAAATGCACTTGTCAATTCAAGCCCTATAGTATTGAAATATTGGCGGTAATAGAGGTGACTCAGGTTCAAAGCAATTATAAACGAAGTAAAACCCAGTGAAATAAATTGAGAAAAAGAGAGATAGAGGTGGTGAGGAATTCAGGAGGTTATAATTTGAGAGAAGACAAAGAGTGGAGGCATCTGCACATGATCCATGTCATTCAACGTTTCTAATCGTCGTTTACTATCGTCTCGCGGACCTTGACCACGTCGTTTTCACCTGCTAATATGGCTCAGTTTAGATGTCAGTGACTTCATAGGTTTGTGTCGTGATTTGGTCAGTTTGCCACTAGCATTCTTCCTGTCTACTGTTGCACTACAAAACGTAACTCTCATCTAGTCAGTTGGTGGTTGGGCATCCGTAACACATGTCCCAAAAACCTAAACTGATGAAGTTTCAATACTTCACATTGTAGCATCTGACAATCCATTGATTTTACTCCAATAATTAGTCGTTTAAATTATTCATTAATAGTATCGAACCATTTTTTGAACTTGTAACAATTCGATTACAGTATCGATTATTGTATATTTGATTGTGTGTGCATGCTTACTCGCTAATCACATGTTTAGCTTTTAGTCTTACCGTTCTTTAGTCTACCTGCGTGGCTTGGTAGGACCTACAGGAACATATGTTTCAGCCAATATAGCTCGGTTGGGTCATCACGATATGCAAGCTCGATCACCCTGTCAAGGTGGCAGCTACGGTCGCGTAAGAACGTTACTGGTTTGTGTGAACAACTATATGCGAGTGTTGTTTATTTACTTTTGATGAAAACTTCGGTTGCTGGATGTCATTTTGTCAAAGTAATTCCTAGTAATATTTATGTAGCACCTAAAAATTGATATGCATTCGGATGATCACATTAGCATCTTTTGCATAAACACCATTTCCAAGCGAAATAATAAGTCACACCCTCGAATTCAGGCAAGAAATATCTTAACACTTAACGAGACCGTACTGTGTAGCACCAATGAGGTTTCTGGAATCCTACTCGTGCATAACGTGCTTCATTTTTTCCCTGTCAACTTCACCTCGCTGAATATGAGCGGTTAATCATATTACTGATTCACTTTGTGAAAATGATATTACATTTGAGTGCACAACTAAGCATTCTGAAGTGTCATGTATTGAGATGACTACTTACAATTAAGCGATTAATCTAATATAGAACGAGATCTATGCTAGCTAGATGGACAAGATAACTATTATTCAACACTAACGATAACCACTTGCGCGATGGATTAA